CTGGTGTTACAGCCCGGTCTTCTCTGACTTTGTGCTAACAGATACAGAATTAGAGTCTAAATAATTGAGAGATGTAGGCTAATTTTATTACTAAGTTTAAATAAATTTCATCCTACATACATAGGCTACACATTGAGTACTGCATTCAGTCTTGGGTCCCTCACTGCAATAAAGACACTGAGGCCCTGAAGTGTGCCCAGAGAAGGACAACAAGCTGTGAGGGGTCTGGAGCACAAGTCTTAAGAGGAGCAGCTGAGGGAGCTGGGATTGCTCAGTCTGAAGAAGAAGAGGCTCAGGAGTGACATTATCATTCTCTACAACTACCTGAAAGGTTGTTGTGGTCAGGCAGGAGTTGGCCTCTTCTTCCACGTAACTAGCAATAGGATGAGGGAGAATCACAGAATCACAGAATGACAGAACTGTAGGGGTTGGAAGGGACCTCCAGAGCTCATTGAGTCCAGCCCCCTGCCAAAGCAGGTTCCCTACAGCAGGTCGCACAGGTCGGCATCCAGGCAGGTCTTGAACATCTCCATAGCAGGAGACTCCCCCCCCTCCCTGCAGCCTGTTCCAGTGCTCCTCACCTCACTGTACAGAAGTTCCTTCGCACATTGGTGCAGAACTTCCTATGCTGCAGTTTCCGGCCGTTTCCCCTTGTCCTGTCTCCACTCACCACTGAAAAGAGTCCAGCCTCACCATTCTGCCCCCCACACCTCAGATACTGATAGACCTGGATCAGGTCCCCTCTCAGCCTTCTTTTCTCCAGGCTGAACAGACCCAGTTCACTCAGCCTTTCCTCATAGCAGAGATGCTCCAGGCCCCTCACCACCTTTGTGGCCCTCCGCTGGACTCCTTCCAAGAGATCCCTGTCTGTTTTGTACTGGGGAGCCCAGAACTGGACGCAGTGCTCCAGATGAGGCCTCACCAGGGCAGAGCAGAGGGGGAGGATCACCTCCCTCGACCTGCTGGACACTCTCTTTTTAATGCACCCCAGGATGCCATTGGCCCTCTTGGCCACAAGGGCACACTGCTGGCTCATGGCCGACCTGTCGTCCACCAGGACACCCAGGTCCCTCTCTGCAGAGCTCCCCTCCAGCAGCTCATCCCCCAACCTGTACTGGTGCATGCAATTATTCCTCCCCAGATGCAAGACTCTACACTTGCTTCTGTTAAACCTCATCCGGTTTTTTTCTGCCCAGCTCTCCAGCCTGTTGAGGTCTTGCTGAATGGCAGCACGGCCTTCAGGCTGTCAGCCAATCCTCCCAGCTTAGCTGAGAACGGCCTCATGTTGTGCCAGGGGAGATTCAGGTTGGATGTTATATATTTCTTCTCTGAGAGAGTGGTCAGGCTGGAACGGGAGGTGGTGGAGTCAACATTCCTAGAGGTGTTCAAGAAACGTTTAGATGTTGTACATGCTTTAGTTGGAAATATTGGTGGTAGGTGGACAGTTGGACTGTATGATCTATGATTCTGATCCTCTAAGCAATTGGCTCTGAATGTGTGTGAGCTTCACCATAGCATATACAGCTGTGGCAGTGCTCCTCTGGGCTCAGCTGGCTTCTAGGAAGGTAGCCTGGAGAAAGAAATTTGTGACTCTTTCTACCTGGTCATGTACATAAACTCTTGGGAAGAAAACAGGTTGCTAGGCATGATACTGAAGTGTCAGTGCTTTCATGTCCTCTTCTCCCTTCACTAGGCTGCTTTTTACCTCTTAATAATTATTTTGGAGTCATCTGAAAAGGCAGAAGTGCATGGAGGACTTCCTTTAAAGAAAAAAAAAAAAAGGCATAATAGAATCACAGAGTGGCTGGGGTTGGAGGTCTCAAAGATATCTAGTTTCAATCCTCTAGCCATAGGTAGGTTTGCCAACCACAGTCAGACTGCCCAGGAACTCATCAAGGCTGGCCTTAAATGTCTCCAGAGATGGGGCATCTGCAGTTTCTCTGGGTACTTTCAGTGCCCTTTGAGTAAAGAATTTCTTCTTTCCCAGATCAGAGTGGAGTACTTACAAGGGCAGAGCAGAAGGGGGCAATCACCTCTCTTACTTGTTTATCAACAATCTCACTGATCTCATTGATTGTATGAGAACTGCTCTGAAAGTAATGACTCTTATTCTATTACATTTGCCCACCAAGTCAGAGATGAATATTGGTGGTATGGCAGTAAAAGTTGAACCTTCCTGCCAATATTCTGGTACATTTCAGTGCCATGTTACAGACAGCAGAAAAGGAGCAGTCTGACAAAATGGAAATGTGTATGAAACAAAGGTGTGTAATTGAATTATCCTTGCAGAAAAAAAACCAAAACAAAACAAAAAACACCTGCATCCATTGACATTTGCACCTTGAGTACTGTGTTCAGTTTTGGGCTCCTCACTACAGGAAAGATGTTGAGGTCCTGGTGCGTGCCCAAAGAAGGGCAACGAATCTGGCGAGGGGTCTGGAGCACAAACCTTATGAGGAGCAGCTGAGGGAGCTGGGATTGTTTAGTATGGAGGAGAGGAGGCTCAGGGGAGACCTCATTGCACTCTACAACCTCCTGAAGGGAGGCTGTGGTGAAGAGGGATCTGGCCTCTTCTCCCAGGCAACGAGCAGGACATGGGGCAATGGCCACAAGTTGTGCCAGAGGAGGTTTAGGTTGGACATAAGGAAGAACTTTTCCTCCCAGTGGCCAGGCACTGGAATGGCTGCCCAGGGAGGGTGGAATCACCGTCCCTGGCAGTGTTCAAGAGGTGTCTGGATGAGGAGCTGCGTGATGTGGTTTAGTACTAGTGGTGGCAATGGTGATGAGGAGACGGTTGGACTGGATGATCTTGTAGGTCGTTTCCAACCTTGTGATTCTGTGATTCTATGATTCATCAGCTTTTGCTGAATGTTTATGGAGACCTAAGAACACTGCATGTTAGCACAGCGAGGCAGTGTGTGGTGCATTTCAGATGTAGTGGTTGTCCTCTGCTGGTGCAGATCTGTACAAGTACATCCAAGTACAAGTGCAAGAAAGACACTGAGGCCTTGGAATGTGTTCAAAGGAGAGCAACAAAGCTGGCGAGGGGTCTGGAGCACAGGCCATATGAGGAGAGGCTGAAGGAGCTGGGAATGTTCAGCCTGGAGAAGAGGAGGCTCAGGGGAGACCTCATTGCTCTCTATAACTTCCTGAAGGGAGGTTGCAGTGAGCTGGGGGGCGGCCTCTGCTCTCGTGTCATCAGTGATAGGACCAGGGGGAATGGCTTCAAGCTACGGCAGGGGAGATTCAGGCTGGACATGAGGAAGTATTACTTTTCAGAAAGGGTGGTCAGGCACTGCAATGGATGCCCAGGGAGGTGGTGGAGTCACCGAGCCTGGGGGTGTTCAAGGAAAGGCTGGATGTTGTGTTGAGGGACATGGTTTAGTGGGAGCTATTGGGAATAGGTGAATGGTTGGACTGGATGAGCTTTGAGGTCTTTTCCAACCTTGGTGATTCTATGATTCTATGATCCTGCAGGCTTATGTTCATTGCTGTCAAATATGCACAGCTAGTGGTGTTGATGACTCTGAAAAATAGCATTCTGTAGCTGAGAATTTTCCTCACCAAATAGTGTCATTGTGTTTTTGTATCAGTTGTATTTTCCATGGAAATAAACAGGAGGCATTACTTTTGGAGAAGACATGCTTACTACAAATAGTCCCAAAGTGTCTGCTGTTTTTCAGAATGTGTATATGTATATGGTTTGGAGAATTTCATGGGCTTGGAAAGAATTGCTCTCCTGTCCTGTCTAGCATGGCTCTGTCCTGACTTTCTACATTACTGTTATCCTTGGCTACCACTACTGAGCAAACCTTTCAACCTTCCGTAGGGCAATCACTTCCTTCAGTTAGATGTTGGTTACATCTGGACTGACATTGTACTTGTTTAAAACAGACAGGTATATCTACTTGTTGTGTTTAGATCCTGTGTCACCCTTGGGATTAGATTAATGGGAGGTGGGCAGGGCTACTGTATTTTACAAACAGTAAATACTACAAAATATTACAAAGGTCAAATAACTTTCTGTTTATAAAGAAGAATCAAGAATGCAAGTTGCATGTGCTGAGCATTTAAACTTACCTATGCTTGCTACTCTGGAACACAAACCAGGAGAAGAGGCAGAACTTTTTCACATACATGTACACTATGCTCTGTATTTTTTAAGAAAGCAGGAGGCCTTATTATTTCTGCAGGGAAGCAAAGTCGTACAGACACCTCAGTGCTGTAGCTGCAGTCTACAGTAGGTTTACTACAATTTTTGGAAAAAGTTAAAAGTTCCTTGCAAAGCTCTTGACTGCATAGCAGAAACCGTAGGGATCACCTAAATGCAATGTGCAGAACAGTGCACTGCCATCATGCAAGCGTGTACACCAGGTGTCCGTAATTCACTCCAGGAAAATGAAACATAAAAAAAGAGAGAGGAGTAAATCAGGAGCAACCTGTTATTTTCAAAACAAAAACAGCATTCATGGAAGATTTCCACTTTAAAAGTGATGCTCCTCTCTGGATATACTTACCTGGCACAACTATGAGAGTAGGAGTGTTTATTCGCAGGACCTTACATCTGCTTTTTGCATACCAGCAGCTTTAAAAATATTTGGTTTAAAAATTCTTTGCCATTTGTAGTGCGTAATTAATTTCATATACATATGAGCATGTATATATTACCTATGGTCGTGTGTACAAAAACTCTAAAAGGATTTAAAAAAAGACACCACACTTCATAATTCATTTTCTAGGATAAACTATATTTTTAATTAATCCCCATTGAAATTGAAGCTGTTGTTGATCTTTTAAAATGACTATACATTATTCAGCACACTGTTAGATGAACACAGATTTTTTTCCCCCTCCACTGCAAGCAAAGTTTAGAGAATCAGTATTACTTCTGAGGGATAATGATTATGCCTCAATTTTGTTTCTTAAAGGTTTATAACTAGACTTTGTGATTGTGAGCTTTTTTAAAAAACTGTTAAAGTTCAAATAATCAAGAAACAATGTGCAGAAATTAACTTCTTTATTATATTATATATTCTAGTAAGTAAAGATTGTTTGAAATGCATGAATAAAAAGTCAGTGAAATTGCAGGAGGAACAATGTAATATAGCAATAATAGGTGCATTCATTGTGCATCTGAGAGGAGGAGGGGGAAAAAAAAAAAGAAAAAAGAAGAGTTTTAACTCGTTTTGGCCTAAAACATTGTGTTCAGGTTTCCAGGACTCTGACATCAGAACCCAGATAACACTGGTTAGAACCATAGGGCTTTACAATAAAAGCTAAAATATTGACCATATGATGGCAAAAAGTCTTTATTTTGCAGTTAACTTATTGTCTTCTAGCTACTCTCCGATGAAGTTGGTGGTGCTGTGGAGGAGGATCTCCTTCTTCTTGACAAAGATCGTGATCGCTCAGCACTGTAGGTAACATGCTTATCATAATTTTGCATCTGAGCCTCAAGGAAATCCCTGTGTTGCTGGCTGATCGTCTGGCTAATCAGTCCAGGGAGAGCTTGAATGCTACCAATTAAGGTTTCCAGTTTAGTTTCCAGAGTAACAATTCTCTTCTCAAAATCTTCACTTCTTTCATTTAAGTCAGAAATCATGTCATACATGATGTTTTGAGTCTGAAAGCAGAAGGATGTAAACAAAGGTTCAGATAGATCTTGCAAATACTCTAACACGCAGTAAAATCTACTTATGCACACCAGACATACATGCACACACAATGAAAGAAAAATATAATAAGATGTAGCCTTGTGAAATAATTACACTTGCAGAATAAAATTATTTAGCGTTCAGTATAAACTTGCTGCTACATTTGTTGACAGAAATGTAATGTGTGTTGAGAAGCACTTTGAAAGTCAAAATGTAAATGAATTAGATAAAACACCAGGCCTATATTCAGAAGCTCAGGTGCTTAGAAACGCACCATAACGAGACGTGAACAAAGTTAGTAGTGTAAGCCATAAGACTAAGCATGACAAAGCAGCTATGTACCCCTTGACTCTACTGTATTTCCTCTTAAAAGCTTTCGTTCTTTTAAACAGAACACAAATTTTGTTCATTTGTTTTCTGCTTAAATTGACCAAAGTTTCTTATACTGCCTGTAGGAACAGTACTTGAGTGGGCTGGCTTTGAATTGCAGTGCAAGGAGTACAACTGAATTGCGTACTCCTCCACTTCTGTGTTCTCCTATTCACCTTCCCTCTACAAAAGCAGCAGGTGGCTACGGGAATTATACAGGATGAACTTTAAAATGTCACAGTGTACAGAATTTACGTCACAGAGGTCATCACTGTCTGTTATTTTCCATTTCCTTTTGTGTTTTTTTTTTGTGCAAGCGAGGCAGGTATGTGGTCAAAAATACTGAATTTCACCATCTTGTAAATTGAGGTTTAGACTTAAAACTAAAAGTGCATATAATTCAACAGACAAACTGGCTGAAGTTCACAAACCATCCAAATAAAAATTAACTGAAGGACAGACTGCCTGAAGTATGAAACACTTCAGATGAGTGCAGACAACTCATTTCTCTGCCCTTCCTTTCAAGATACCAACACAATCCCCAAAAGTGAAGCATTCTTCATTAAATAATCTCTGAAAGTCCTTATCAGCTGCTTATCAGGAAGCAGTAGAGTGAAATGTATTTTCAGTAACTCAAATTGTCAGGTGATTCTCTAAAATAAAGGAGAAATAAACACTAAACTGTTAATTTCGGTGGGAGAGCCTGTGTGCTATGATTCCTCAAGGTAAAGTCACTTTCATTGGACAGGAAACCTCTTCAATACACAGGATTGCATTGCTGAGGCCCAGCTGCAGTTCAGTATTTACCACAACCACTGCAGTCACATCAGCTCTCAGGGTCACCCTCTTCACCTCTTTTTAAAATAGCCCAAAAAAAAAAAAAAAAAAAAAAAAAAAAAAGAATTTAAATTTTGGTCAGAGGCACAAAGAAGATGTTTCATTTAATAAGCCAAACCCAAAACAAATCCATATCTTCATTTCCTTAAAAAAAAAAACACAACATACACACACACTTGTCAACAGTACCTGCATTTGCAAACTCTTCCATTTTGAAAGGATGAATACTAAAACAAGAATAATTGCCTACTAACCTTTGCCAGGTCCACCAAAGTGTTGGCTTGGTCATTCAGTTTCCTTTGCTCCATTTTTACACTTCTTAATCTAAAAAGTGGAATTTCAAGTCAGACGCGTGTGAGAGATCACATAAGGATTTCTAAAAAGCATGCAAGAAACTCACAAGAACAAGTAACTGCATGGACAATGCCTTGAGTACTTTGTGTAAAGTCAAAACCGTTCATGTGCCTGCTACGATGAGAAGCATGCTTCTTCAACACCACAAAAAAAGGAAAGAGCAAGGAAATGTGATGTCCTTGAGAAAACCGTTTGCCATGATTAAAGTTGAATTCAAAAAGGGAGGTAAAAGTTTATCCGGACTACATGAAAGAAAGCCAAAACATTCCTCAAAGCCTCAGTATCGTGACAAGTAGATATAGGAAGAAACATAGAACAACTGTTTTGGTTTTTTTTCCATCAGTGTTGCAGTAAGCAAGAATCTTCCCATGCCTACATGACTAGATACAGGTATTAGCCCTGTTCTGTCGGAAATGGATTGGGTTGGCAGGTGTTTGAACCTGATGGAAATACAGTGATAAGTGAGTTTCACATTCATTTAAACACAACTCCCATCTGACTAGCAGCTAAATAATCAGCACACTTGCCAATACGCTTAATTTTCTTACATAACTTGTGAATCTAAATATGCTTACATTTTAAACTCACACTAGACATACATTTACAGGGTACTATTTAAACTAGAGCAGTGAGAAAGTATGCAAGAAGAAGAATGTTTTTCTCTTTAATACCTAGCCATCTGCATTACTACTAATTAGTTATGCACAATATTTGAAAGATATACACACAAGCGTTTGTATAGGTTCCCTGAATCAAAGTAAATATTTCTTTTAGATTAACTCCTAAAGGAGTGGTTTATAGGTGTGAATTTCACAAACGAACAACTTCTTGTGCAAACATGAGTGCTTTGCAGCATTTTGTGTACTTTCAGTCATTCTGCTGAATGCTGCAAGATACAGCATTTTTTAAAAAATAATACTCTGATTTACAAAAGACACAATAAGGTGCCATGCAGTCTATAGGATGTTATGGGGCAACCAAGATAACCATCTGATAGCTTTCACCAAATGAAAATAACTTGGCAGCATTTTGTGGCATATGATTTGCTAGCTGCCCTGCCTATTTCCCAATTATTGTGCAACTTACAAGGTTAAGTGTGTCTTATAAAGCAAACATGATTTCAGTCAGGCATGTAAGCCTGTTTTTGTACAAACAAGAACTCAGCTCATAGCAGTGGCACCAAAGTGTCCCGTATCACTGTGGCACACCCTCTGGAGCTGTAAAGGAGTTACTCTTCTTCCTTTCTGTGGGCCTCTAAGTGCCCTAAACACTAACGTGGAAATTCTGATCCCCTTTAAAATTAAGGACAAAACTGCTGAAGTCTGCAGTGGGATCAGAGTTGTTTCACCAGCTTTCCGGAACTAAACAACATTCTTCATCTTCAACAGCTGTATGTTTCTGTGAGGGCTTAAAGTTATTTTATTTTAATCTAGAGGCAGAATTGGACTCCCTTCTAGTGATGCTTAACTTTCCCACAGGAGAAATGGCTACAAATGACCTCCTAAACACAGAAGTAGATGTCAAGAGAAGTCTTCTTCAAAATACTCTAAAACTGGAAATTTTTTGTTCAAATCTGTAGTTTGATACGTAGCACGTATTTCTTTAACATCTAGGCTAACCTCCCTGAGAAAGAAAGTGAAGTAACTCCAACTGCTTGCATAAAAACTGACATTCCAGAAGCCTTTCCCTGAAGGCTTCCTTTGGAGCACAACATTAATTCAGATTGTAGGAATGGTGCCTTCAGAGGCTTATGAACTGGAGCTAATCTGAAACCAAAATACGGAGGCATCTCCGAAATATGGACATGTATCATTACAGTCTCAGAAGAGAATAACTAGCAATAGGTGAGTATGTAATGATTTGACTAGAGAATGGCAATCCTGCTGTTTCAGTAGCTCTCAGTATTTGCAGAGCATGTTTTCTGCTTTCCTTCTCTACTTGCTAAGTGAGCATGTCAACTGTACAATTTTGAACACATTTAGAAATTGGGAAAAAAAATAGAAAAAGGTGCTAGCTGACACCAACATGATAATTCCTAACCACAGTCAACTCAGAACGTGTATCCCTAGGTAATGGCAAGTTTTTAGCTGCATCAGCCAGATATAAAGAAAGCTGTCAGATTGTTGTTCTTAAATTCTTTAAGTACGAAACATGTTGACTTTATAAACTTCACTTATCACAGCAAAAGATCATGATTCTGGATCGCGTTTCCATGGCAGCAATCAGACCATTGAAGTTCACAAATAAAACTCTATTTTTTTGCATGCAGACAGTGGTAAATTCTGCAAATTTAGAAAGGAATAGCTCATAAAACTTACTTCCGAGCTCTATTTTCATTTTGTTGAAATAAAAAGACAAAACAAAAGAAAAAAAAAAAAACAAAACTGTAAAAGATACTAAAACAACCAGATGAGCACAGTGAGCTCAATTCAGCAGGTGAGAAGTACTAGAGAATTGCCACTGCTCCCAGCAATTGCCACAGGTGAAGTTATGATGAAGGAAACTTCAAACCTTCCCACTGACTATCATCTGTACATTTGCTTAGTCATAGTATTTTAAAAGTGGCTTCTAATATATTATTGTTTACTATGATAATAAGACTTTCACCTTATTTAGTTTGCATGAAAAGCAAAATCATCCAGGCCAGCCATGGAGATTACCATATTAGGACTGAACTTGTGAGTTTGAAACTGTTATCATAATCTGCTCTGGTTTTAAGTATGAAACTGGCCCTGAAGCTTCACTTGTTTTATTTCTATCTTCAGCCAAATGATTGGAAAGCTGAAGGAAGTTGACCAGGAAAAAAAAATAAGAATCCATAAAGATAGAAGAGAGCCATATTCTACCATGAATTTCTTGGACCCTTGAAAAAAGCTCAGAGATGTACAGGGATAAAAAATAAATCACATTCAGCTACTCAGCTGCAGCTAGAGGGAAGCAAACTGCTAGAGCAATGTTTTCATCCATGAGGCATTCCTTAGCATACTGAAAAAAATTTTTGTGGTTGAATATAACACATTTTGCAATGGGATACACAGTGCTAAGGGGCAGAGTTACATGGATTATTAACACACCTGTTTGAAGTTTGGCTGGCACAGCAAGGAAGAAACTTACTGCTGCCATGTTCTCCACCCAACCCAATTAATGAATTTTTAAGGCAGGTGCAGGACAGCAGTTTACAGAGTGTGAAGCTCTTCTGAGTTTGAATGAGCTGCAGATCGAGCCTGCTGTGCTTTTTAGATTCTTATTTGCATACAAGTGCACGCACGCATACACACAAGAAATAGTGAGGTTAAAATGTTAAGGAATAATCTTTGCAATAAGGCATTCAAATCCAGCAAAGGATACACAGGACATGCCATCATCTACCCTAAAACCCCAGCCAGCCCTCTCCCTGCCTCCCAGTCCTTCAAGCTGAAAAGGATAACTCAACTAGGCTAATACACTTTTTACTTATGAGAAGAATGTCTCAGCTTTTGCAGTCCTTTTATTGCCTCAAGTGTATCTGTGGCATAGTAACATTTAATCCTGCAAGTTTGCTAAGTATGAAGTAGTAATCAAGGTTATTGAATGCATAATACCTTCAAGGCTTAACTACCTATTCATTTAAAACATTGTTATGAAACTGAGAAGCCTGTCCGTAAGCCTATATTTACTAATAGGAAGTAAGGAAACCTTGCTTTTCTTTCTCTGCTCATGGAAGATGAGCCAGGAATCCTTTTTCACTGCACAGAAGTGGATCACAGGGGCACTCTCCTTGCAGGCTGGCTCACATAGACTCACAGGGAGAACTTATCAAAATATCAGTTTGAAATGAACCTTAAATACTTGATCCACATTTCCCCAAGGATCTCAGAAAACCCATTTCATAGGCCCAACAACAAATGGCTTCCTCAGTCTGGATACAGACATCGAGCAGCATGGATAAATAGTAGCACGGGTGCTGATCATTTCTTACGATGAATTTGTGGTTCGTGGGGACAAAAGCCTCTTCCCCCTCACCCCCCATATAATCCAAAGAGTAATGGAATCATCACAGAGGTCTGTTGAGCTTTATGTGCTTAATGACAAATACATACTATGAATTTCAGTTAATACTTAAAGTCTGGCATTATTATATTACTGCTCACAGCTCTCATGCTTGTCTGCAAACCTTTGGGAGTTCATTAGGGAGGAAGAACTCATTGGAATTACAGCAGAGGTATTCAAGGGTCATACAATGTCTGTTGGAATACGATAATTTTCTGTGTATTGGGTTCATACCTTGCACACCAACACCTGACCTCCTCTACTGAGGAAACAGAAGCAAACTGCTGTTAAGATGTGAAAAGGAAGCTTGATGCACACTCTTAATTAAGTACTACATAAATACTCATATCCTCTCTTCAACTATTTCATTCTGATCTGAAATTACCAAATCTACAAATGATTTTTTTTTCTTTTCTTCTATCTGTTGTAGCTTGTATCTTACTACCTGTAAACAAACACATAACAGCAAAGGACAGTTACAGTGGCAAAAGACAAATATGTCTTAGCTATTTCAGGAAGCATGGGAAACTAAGAAAACTACAAACAACTCTGATTTAACTTGCGTTGGGCATACACAGTTAACATACCTTCTGTTGAAAGCAGGTATACAGTAAAACCTTATTTTTGTCATTCTCAAATAAAAAACTCAAGAGCAATATTTTCTGAAAAGTGAGAAAGAGAGTGCAGGAAGTAGAAACTAAAGGAAACAGAGACAAGAAGGGGAAAAGGGAGAGAAAATAGCTGGAAAGGAAAACCAAAACAAAATAGTACTTACTGATGAATAGCTTGCAAGAATTTGCGCTGATGTTTCCTTACTTTTGCATGGTCTATCTTTTTAACCAGCTTTGTGTTTTTATAAATTAACCATGTTTCCCTGAGTACATTGGCAGCTGCATTTTTCACCTGTTTAATAAAAGAAAAACACCAACCTGACAAAAAATATTATTATGTCATGTTTTTTGTTGTTTTTGTTTGTTTGTTTGTTTTCCTGTTGCTTTTTCATTATGTCCCTGCCAAAACATGGGAAATGGGTACATGAAGGAGCTGCAGCAGAAACAGCAGAGAACAGAAGCTGGACCAAGGGCACTACTGAGCAATTTCTGTGTTGTTACTTACAATAATGCTTACCAACTATCTTTACATCTGAGAATCACCTGTCCTTCTCTAACAGAGCTTGTACGACCCGGCATTTATGGCAATACAAATTACAGCAAGAAAATACCGATAATTATCTGCATGGTAATTCACTACAATATTTTATCAGGTCATAAAGTTCTTCTCGTTCTTGTTGTATTGTCATTACCTTCTTTCTCTTCGCAGTTTTTACAGCCTTTTAAACATCCAGAGCTGCTTGAGCGTGTTTTTGTTGTTTACGTTTTTCCGTCGTGTTTTTTCCTTACCATTCTTAGAGGAGATGAAAACAAAACTCCCTAATTAATGTAGACAATGTTTTGTTTCTTAAGGGTTTTGATTTATTTTTTCTTTAAAAGAGACTTTCCATAAAATGTTAAAGAGTACCCTCAGTTCCTTCCTCCGTTACCTTCAAGAACGACTGAAAACAACCAACAGAGAATTTCAGTGCAGTATTTATTAACAGAATTAGTAGGTTAGTTGCAAAGGCTATTGATCTTTATATTTTCTCCTTCCAACTGTACATTATGCCAGTTGCTGCGGCATCAAAGTAAGCCACTGCATAGGTAATGGCACTGTAGGAATGCAAAGCAGCAGCTCCATCCAGCAGGAGGTTCCCACCTTGTATGTGCACTGCAGAACCCTGGGCTTGACTTCAGTGGGAGCTAAGTCACATTTTAGGGACTGCTGCACAACCTCTGCCTAGCCCTTGCAGTTTTCCCAGAAGATATGGCTAACTTCAGGTGACGTGGAAACCTCTGCACTGTCTGTGTAATGCTGGCCAGTAATCTGTCGTGCACCTCAGACTTGTTTGCTTTTCATTTGCTTTGAGTGCCATGAGTTTGAAGCTACAAAGCACCACTCAGGTACACTATGAGACTGATAATTAGATTTACATGAAGGTATACAGGAGAAGCTTTAAACAGCACAAGTGAACACTAGGCTCAAAATCTGGCCAATCTCTGCAAAGCCTTCTTTTCTCCCACAGGACATTTAGAGTTCAGTTGTCGGTTTCAATGAAAAAATATTCCTATCAGATCTTCCAAACAGCAACTTCTTACCTCACCATGGGCAAGCACTGAAGCTGTCTGTAGCTCCCACTCCCTTTTGTGTTTCCTCACCAGTGACCTGTTTTTCTTCTATAATGGACTTATTTCATTTTCTAAGATGTTATTCGTGAATTAAAAAAATAGGAATGTCTCATACAAATTGAAATTGGTGTTTCTTTAACGAGTTCTAACAACTTCTGAAGTCTTTTTTGTTTCGTTTTGTTAAATAATTGCTTTTGAAGTATTTCTGTTATCTACAAAGCATCTTTCAGGGTGCTTCATTACTGTATGTAGCTGAATGAATGCTGTGCTGAGCACACCAAGCAGTTGCAAAGACTCCCTCATTCACAAGGTATGAATTGGGATTTTTTTTTTAAGAATATCCTGTATAGCTTGAAATTCTTACTTATCAGTCATTTTACCTATTTTAGCTATAAATTCTTCTCCTATGCTTTGGATTTCTTTAACATATAGCTCTCTAGTTTCACCATATTTTGCTGTTGTTTACTCCAATTATCATACAGCTGGAAGACCCTCCACAGAAGAATACTCAAATCATCAAAAATCTGCATTTATCCTCAATTCCAAGAAAAGCTCAGAGCATTCAATTTCCTCCTTTCAAAATCACAATTATGAAAAAGTCCAGTAGAAGAATGGAGCAGGAGACCACTTAAAACAAATGCAAAAGTAAGTTAACATACATTTCCTTTTCAGTTGTGAATATAAAGTGTGACTTACTCTTTTAGTTAGCTGGGTGTCCATCATGAAATTATGCACATGTTTTTCAGCTTTGGTAAGTTCTAACTTCCTTGCCACCACAGCTACCACCAGTGCAGTGCACCCAGCACCCTGAAAACAATAAAACAAACCCCCAAAATGTTACTACTGCATTTTGCAGAGTTTTTAGTGGAAGTTTCTCCTTAGTTGTAGAAATATAGCAAGCATCAGGTATTTCAAGCCTGTTAAATACACTGAAGATGCTACAGCTATTTCTATTGAAAGTAATAGAAAAAGTCAGCAGTTACAGGCTGGTAAACTGTCAAAGCATCCAAATAATTAGTGAGCAGCATCATTGAAAAGTCCTGCTTTGTAATTTTCCTCCAGTGGTTAAAAATTTGAAGACATCCCATTTCTAGTGCATAAGAAAGGGAGGCTGGTGAACAAAACACCTTCCAAAACCCACAATGTTAGTAAAGAAATGCAAAATATACCCTGCTCTTAACAACTGTCTCAAAGTTACAGCAATTGCAAAAGATGAAATAGGATTAGATGAGCATCTAGGACACACACACACACACACACACACAAAAAAGCTTCCTAGAATTTGTCATATGGGCCAAAAATAAATGTATTATCAATGCAGTATTTATTCATTTTAATATACTTCTAAGTTGCTCTCTGGAGACTTCACTAACTTTTTCCTACAATACTTCTGCTTTGCTTATTACCATTTGAAACAGCACACGTAAACAACACATCTAGTAACAGCTGGGTAGAGAAAATACCAAGTTCCTAATTGGTGCTGCCTGTGTGTATGCATACACATTGCATATGCACACATCCATGCTCCTAGCGTCCAAGTTCCTTTGTTCCTTTTGTTCCTAGTGTCCAAGCGAAGTATCTTTGTTACCATTATAATTTTTGTGGGGTCTTTTTTTTGGGGGGGGTGGGGTAGGGGGAAGGGAGCGGGCACTGGAGTGGTTAAAGGGGTTAATGGGAAGAATATTAAAACCTTAACAATAATCTCCACCAAAGTTGACCTCTAGATGAACCTCACAACCAAGCACTATCTGATCATTACTGAAATATAGCTTAGATAAAATGTCTCATCAGAAAGAGATGTAGCTTAAATAAAATGTTATGAGAATATTAACCTTGCCTTGTTTAGAAGCATGGTATTTAATGCCTGAAAAAGGCACAACTTTAAAAAGTACACAAACTCCCTTGGTTCCTCCTTGAGAACTGGCCAGGCTTGAGGTGGAATCCAAAAAGGAGAACGATACCAGATGTTTCTGCCCTTGAAGCAGTGGAAACTTGTTTATCCAACAATATAAAAGCTGGATCCTCTTGCAGCAAAAACTAGAGAACTCACCTAAGGATGGATACATCACATAGGACATCCCAGTTGCTGGGAAAGACTCTCCAAACCATTGCTGTAACCAGGGTTCCCCAGTGACTGTGGATCTGGATGATGGTAATGTATTAAGGGCAATTGGTGATGTTTCTTTCTTAATCACTGCAATTAATCTTACACTGTAATGATTAGGTGCATTACCTCGACATGTTCTATTGCTTCTGTCTCATTTCACCTTGCTTTGTTTTGTTCTTGCTGTCTAATTTCACTTACTATTTTATTGCTTTAAGTGTAAGTAAAGATAAACCCATTTCTTTAACTTGGTGTTGGTGTCCTTTGTGCTTGGAAAGGACATTGTAAAAACGATTTGTCACACAATGAGAAACAGCATGTATTATACACAATCAAGGTATCATCTACTTGAACATCATTACTAAAATCAGCTGGGTTTGTAGGTTTTTTTTTTGTTGCTTGTTTTAAATCTCTACATGTTCTCCTTTCTTTTTTTTAAGTGTAAAAATCACATTAAACAAATAAGGCTGCATTTAACTTGCATGTTCAGTCCCACCTACGCGTTGTTACACTTGCATCAGTTATTCTCTAGTGTAAAGCAGTCTCTTGTTGCACATTCAAACTTGCTCTATTTTCAGCCACAGAACTTCCTTCCACTTTCTGTATTTCTCTTGTTAATTTGTTTTCTCAGTTTCTTTCTGCTCCAATATTTGCCTTGCTGTTTCCAGAAGATGCAGACTAGATCTCTGAAGCTAGCTTCCTGAATACAAATTCCACTACTAAACACATACAGAATGGAAAATAAACTCACTGGAGCCCCTTCTTCACAACGTCTCCAATTAAGCTTCCATTCCAATGATAGATCATTCCAGGAAAATCACCTGCTCTCTCAGACAGACCTGATCTCTGCAGTCAGTTCTTACCTTGCAAAGGTACAGCACTCTTTAACACTCTCTTCAATGTATCCCTTGTGATTTTGCTGCACTTCCCCATCTAGCTTCTCTTCTGTCCTCCACCCAAGCTTTCAAACTCTGCTGTGCCCTCTCCCTCTGCTTGCCAGCCCTTTGTGTTGAGCAAAGCTGTCATACATTTGAAGTCTCTCTTCATGAGACAAAGGCAGAACTGGGACAGCTACAGCCATTCATTTGCATTCCCACATCCCATTCTATGACGGAATGTATAAAGACAACTAACACTGGGGACTGAGGGCTTCAGGAATGCACCCAGCTTCTCGAGGTCTGGGCAGGAGCTGCTCTCTACCGTGTGCCCTACACCCCCCACAGACAGCTCTTTTCCAGTCTCCTTCCCATGAGGGATAGCAGGAGGGAGCTGCTATCATGCAAGACGCTTCTCTGCGGGCAAAAGAATAAGAATTTCATACAATAGGAAGAAAAAAAAAAAAAAGGGAAACAGAAATCTTTTGGCCCACTCAGAATAACAGGCCAAATGTTGCTCCAGTGACATAATCTGATTTCTGCCTGCTTACAGCAAGAATGCTAAAATAGGTTGAGGTGGTTAAAACAGTCTGGTCTGGCAAAGTAGTACAAAACAGCTGTTTGTGCCAAGGAAAGACAAATCCTAGATTCCTGTTGTCATTACCACCAAAACAGACTCTTGCAATCATGCAGCATGTTAGATGCAATTACCCCTTTTGGCTTTTTAGCTTTCACAGTTTCTCAAAACTGCAGAAAAATTTTGCATGATGAAGGTTTGAGCATGTTGGTAACTTGCTCCATTTGCTAGAAACATGCAAGTAGATAAAACAGAATTAACCATCCAGCATTTCTTTCACGTGCTGTATGAAAAAGAGCTAGTCAGCAATCATAAAGTTTAAAAACTAATCTGTCTGAATTTTTCTGCTTGCCAGAAAAATCACAGAATGGCTTTGATTGCAAGGAACCTTAAAGATCATTTAGTTCCAACCGCCCTGCCATGGGCAGGGTTGCTAAGCAATACACGAGGCTGCCCAGGGTTCCATCCAGCCTCACCTTCAGGGATGATGCATCCACAACATCTCTGGGGAACCTGATCCAGCACCTAACCACCCTGTGAGAAAAATCTCCTCCTAACACCTTTCAATTTAAAACCATTCCCTCTTGGCATATCAGTTTGTGCAGAAAGACAGTCTCCCTCCTATTAATAATCCCCTTCAAGTACTGGAAGCCACAATGAGGCCTCTCCAGTGCCTTCTCCTCTCCAGGCTGAACACTCTCAGCTGCCTAGTCTTTCTTCATAGGAGAGGTGCTCCAGCCCTTTGACCTTTGATCACTCTTGTGGCCCTCCTCTGGACCCCCTCCAACAGCTCTACATCTTTCCTGTATTGGACTCAGTATTCCGGATGGGCTCCATGAGTTGCAGCTCAGGATGCTGTCGGTCTTCCATGCTGTGAGCACACACTGTTGGCTCAAATCAAGCTTTTCATTCACCCCAAAACCCTTCTCCATAGGTCTGCTCTCAATTTGCTGTGCATACATGGGACTGGCTCAATTTAAGTGCAACACCTTGCATTTGCCCTTGTTGAATCTGATTAGGTTCACAAAAAATGTGGTAGCTGAACAAACTTAACTACCAAACCAGGGGAAGCATAAAAGATATGAGCTGAAAATTGGCTTCTCTAAAATGACAAAGAGTCTGCTAATGAACTGAGTGAAGCCTATATTATTGCTGTAAAGATCTAGCATTGACAGACACAGATCTTCTGAATGCTTGATTGATATAAAAGATTCTCCGCTGGTGTTCACAAAGCACAAAGTCTGAAAACAAAGAGATAACACCATGCTCAGTCTTTCAAGTGGGCTGAAAACAAACGTTGGCCTGGATCTGACTGCATAGTGGCATCATATCTCTCCTTTTGATCATCAGATCTCTCTTTTTAATTTAAAACTTGCATTCACGATCAGTAAAATCTCGAAGCATAAGATTTACAGCCATTGCACTGGGCAGAACACCCTTTGACTGTCAAACCTTATAGCCGCAGTCCTGCATGAAAACGTTTTGCTTTATCTGTGAACAACTTCAGCACACTCTTTGTATCTAATATTCTAAGCATGCTATTCTATCCAGAACAAAGAATGACGACTCAAGTTTAGATGCTCACACAAGTAAGCAATAATCCAGGAAAGCTCTCCTTAGCTATTTTTACTGCATATAATCAAAATAAATTTGCATGAATAGAAGTGTGTGTGGTTATACATATATGGGCTCATACATGTATTTATGCACTTGTTAAATACTTGTAGGCTTATTTCCTTAGTTTCACAAGCCTAGTTGATGACTGAAAAAGTGGTAACATGGACTAAGTTCAGCCAAAAAAATAGAGTATGTCAACAAGCACTGGCTTTTTGACATAAAGCTTATGCTATTACAAAAAACAGACAAGAAAGGTGAAATTAATTGAATTTTAAGTTATATTTTAAATTTACCAGCTGAAAAAAACCCTAAATATTCTATTCAGAACAAAGTAACCGTGACTTGACACTGCCTTTCACTTTGCCATTAGACCTCAAACTGCAGCATTTCCTAACTGCTCAGACAGTTAAAACTTTCCTCTTGGTATTTAGATCTGAATTATTCTAAACACTGCTTCATCTGCTTGAATAAAGCAAATTCCCTTCTCAGTGGCATCATACATGGAATATTTAACCTCAGTTTCAGTATTTCACACCTCTAGGCTCTTCCAACTCATCAGTATGGAAGCAATGTATTGTGGTTCTGATAATCCCTTTTTCAGACAAAATCCTTTGCATTGTCCCTTGGCTAAGAA